TAAATATGGGAAAGAGCAGGCCTATTTGGGCAGTGATTTATGGGAAAAAAAATAGTCTGCCTTCAACTATTTGAAGGAGGAGTGACTTTACTCTGTGCTTCCAGAGTGCAGAACCAGGAGGCTGGGAGGAATCTCAGCTTACTTTTAGAAAGAGCTCTCCTTCCATATTGTCCAGCAAGGGCTGAGGGACACACACAGTAAGAGGTCCTTGTCTCAAGGAGGGAGTGTGGATGAGGTACTTTCTGGGTCCTTTTAACCGTGGGATTGGATTTTCCAGTTTGACTGTCCCCTGCCTACCTCACGATTCTCCTTCCTCCCTGCCACTGGCAAGCTAGTCGCACATGCCTTCTCCCCTCCTTATACTTTCCGCATTGCCCACTACAGGCCTCTACATGTTTTTCTGTGCTGTTCCATGTGCATTGAGCACCCTTCTCTACCCCCACCAAGCACCCCATCTGCCTGGCTAAATTCTACCCACCCTGCAGGTCTCAGCCTCCCAGACCTCCCAGGGATATTTGCTCACTTCAAATCCTACAATATCCCTTACCACACAGTGTACACCTACAGACATTTAATTGTTTATTTGTATTCATTTTTTTAAATGTCTGCTTTTTACCCAAGTCTGTAAGCCTCTTAAAAATAATAACCATGATTGTTCAGCTTCTTCAAGTATCTCCAGTCCTGGTCACTGGGCCTGGCACAGAGATGCTCAACAAATATGAATTGAGTGACTGACTCACCACAGTGCAAACACTGAACCTGTAACTAAACTGGTGGGAGAAAGAAAGAGCCACATGTTTGAATGGGTATGCCATTTCATTTGGTGCTAGACCATAGGTTGACCAGAGCTCCAAACTGTCAAACAAACATTTCCTCCTGAGGTTGGGCCCCTTGTTACAATGGAGCAAAATGCCCAGAAAAACAAAATGATTCCTCTCCTTACATATTTATCTGAAACAGCTATTGAAGTCTCTTATTCTGGAAAGTCAGGAAGAAATGAGGACAGAATGGTTTTCACATCACCCTTGTTCTTTCCATACTAATCGCTTTGGTGTCTGTGAGCTCACTGATCTATTTCATGCTTCTACTGAATTTGGGAGAAGGAATCAAGTGAGAACTAGGTTCTGATCAGAATTAAAGGCAGAGTGAGATCTGTTTTGCCCAGTCAATAAGATCTGGAAGAAAGCTTTATTTCCCACTTCTCTTTCTTTTTCACCTATAAATTGAGTCACTTGTCACATGACTAATTCTTTACACACCCTTGCTGGCCCTCTTCAAAAGAAGAAATGTTTATTGAGCACTTACGGTACATCATGCACCATGCTAGGTGCTTTCCAAATGTCTTTTAGCCCTTATAAAACACTTGTTGAGGGATCAATCCCCTCATTTTACCCCCAAGAAAACTGGCTAAGTAAGTTGGCCAACATTATAGAACCAAAGAACCTTCAGCCCAGAACGGAGCCCAGCTGGAATGTTTTCAAAGGCCATTCATTTTTCTCCTACACCACTCCAACTGAGCATTTAAGCTCTCCTGTCAATACTATGTTTTGGTTTCAAAACAATCACTAATGCTTATCAGACAAAACAAAATGACCTCACTGTGTTATAACAAAGGGGACAGAACATAAACCAGAATTAAAACATTGCTATTGTGCTGCTGCTCTGTGGTCTCCTTCCAAGAAGGAGAAACACTTTTACATGAAAGACAAATCCAGAATATGAAAGGAATTTGATAGAAAACAACTTTTAAACATTTGGATGAATCCTCATCTGGAAATTTTAATCCTTTCTGAAATTCTCCTAATTCCACAATGGTTGTTGGCTCATAATTTTCAAAATTAAGAATTTTTGTGCTAACAAGAAGCTTAGATCTCGGATTAAAAATACTGTGGCATTAAGTGTGACCTCGTGAGACAAAGTCCAGGTCCACTTATTCCATGAGAAGCATTCAGGGAGCATTTGTAAGTATTGCCGGCTGATAACACTTGATAGAATGCAGAGATGGGGCCCTAGGGAGGGGGGAAACCAGTGGGAGGCCTTAGAGCTTAGTGAGTCCTGGTGTGTTATCTGCCCCTGTCTCTAAGGAGGATGGATAGGGAATTTTCAAGGATTTAGTACAGAGCAAAGAGTGACGTCCAGTCTTAGCAGTCTTTGGATGGTGCACAAGAGGAGCATTTGTGATATCATGCCAGCAACTCCATAAATAGGGAGGGATAGGGGTGAAACCAAAGGCTATTTTGCCATACTCTTTAAAATTACTGGAGGTCAAGAACAGTTTGTCAAAAACACCCTAACTCTGAAACATCCCTATCCTCTGTCCTCAGTGAGTAGTTTCCCACCCATACAGATCTTCAACAGCCAGGGGCTATGGCCGTCAGAAAAGCGCATAGATCACACATCTCTTTCTTATCTTGATGGCCAAGTTTTAGAGCCCTTTGAAATGTTGCCCCAGTCACCACAGTAAGAGAAACTCCAGTACAGACAAAACGCGGGATTTCATTAGGGAGTTGTTTTTCCCCCAGCCCCTCAAAGGTCTCTGTTTAAGTCTCTCACCTAGTAGCACAAAAGCCATTAAAGCACTTGAATGAAAGGGTCAGGTTGCAAGCTGTGCAAGTATGGAGGCAGGCGAGCCCTGTCCAGACCACCCAGCTCTCCAAAGGGGGTAGCAGCACCAGATTCAGACAAGATCAGAAGCTGCCACCAGAGTAACCTGGCCCAGGGAAACAGCCTGGCAACTGAGTTATAGGATCCCACCGTGAGGAATGGCTGTGTGCTCTGTAAAGGGGGCATCTGTCTAACTGACTATACTGGTGGTCTTGATTCTTTGTGAGAGAAAGAAAAGTTAAAAGATATTTTTGAAAAATTTTAAGAAAAGCAGAAAGTCAAATCTTTTAGGTCTGTTTACAAAGGAAACTAAAGAACTCCCATTCCCCTGTATCTGCATTTAGAAAACTGAGCCATTTTCACCAATGTCAGAATATCAGAGCTGGAAAGATACCAAATTTATTTAATTCAACACTTTGGCTTATTGATGGTGGAAGGGAAGGTTAGAGAGATTAGGTGGCTCATCCACAATGGGTTGGTAACCCATGAGATTTGAAGCACCGTGAGGACAAGGACACTGTCCCCACTAACACACTGATCTTTTTGGAGTCCTTGGAAACCAGCACAGAGCCTGGTACGCAGCAGGCACCACAAATATTTGGGATGGGGATGGTGGTAGGGGAAAGGAAGTCCACATGCTTTTTTTTTTTTTTGCTATAAATATACAATGCCATAAAATGTCATTAGGGATGGGGCTGGAGGCTGAGTCAGTATTTTTCATATGTTGTCAAATAAGGACTTCAACACAATGCGGGAATCACTTCCGTTTATCCTAATGCCTATGCGTTGGTCCAATCTAAATTCAGTTTCTAGAAAATTAGACTCCCAAACAGTCCCAGGAAATAATCCAGCTCAGTTCAACCCAACTCTGCCTAGCCCATCCTCAGGTGTGGGGCATCCCCAGGAAGCTGATGAAGAATTAAGAACAGCCTTGGGTTTAAAGTTTCTGAGACAAACATTGCTTGGCCATGTGGGGCAGGTCAAAGCCACACAGCCAAATGCGTAGAGACAGGCAGACACAGTGTGCAGGTACCTTTGTCCAACTCTCTTTCTCACTCATGGGAATGGAAAGGGGAGCAAGAAAAAACAGCTGAGGTTGCTGGGAAAGCTGGTGAAAAGCCTCGGTTTGCCAGCCAAGCATGCAAAACCATGTAGCACATAAATTACGTTCAACGTCAGCTCAAACTCTAGTTTATTACTTAGATATGAGTTTAATATTAACGAAGTACATGAAAAGAACTTAACTGCCAAGGACGTTGTAGAGCAGTGCTCATCCAAGTGTGATCTCACCTGCCTCACTTGGCAAATTCCGAGCCCTGTCCCAGCCTTACATTCTTTGGGGATGTGGCCTATGTTACCTGCCTTTCACCAAGCACCCAAGTGGTTCGTATGCACACTTAGTTTTGAGAATCCCTGGTGGAGAGAAAGAGCAAATGTAAACATTTTCCTAGAGTCATACTGAAGGCACTTATTTCAAGTAGAGGCAACTCTTCAAGCTTTAACTACAGCTAAGAATGGTGGTATCAGTTTTCCAGAGCAGAAACCCAAAGAGCATTTTAATAACTAGGTCTGGTCTGTGAAGCAGCCCTGAAGAGGTTAATCCCTCCAGCAAGATTCCCAGGCCATCCACTGCAACCAGCCCCCGGAAATGCTCTTGTTAAGCTTTGTAATTCACACCAGGCAAGGAGACTGAGCGCAAGAGTAAAAAAGCAGAAATGAAATTAAATGCCTTGAAAATTATTTTTGTGATCCAGATGAAAACTAAAAGAAACCAGTTACTACTATAGCAAAGTCTCTGGATCAAAGCTGGCTAAAGAGCAGAAGCAGCTTAAATACAGCCCAAAACTTCAGAACAAAATGATTCTTTGCCTCCCCAACACTATCACTCATCTCCATAAAAATAGAAACCATACTTTTAAAAATATGGACTCAAATATAACTAAATTAAAGCAAAGGTATCCAAAAACCATCTCATCCAAATTTCTATATCTTTACACCATGAGGATATCTGTTTTGTTATTTTTGCATCTTTTCTCTTTGCTATTTTATTTAGCTTAATTTGAGGAAAATCATTCTGATTTGGGGGAAAAATTACAAAAGGTAATAAAAATGGCTATTTCATTGATAAGTGTCACTGGAGATGGATTCAGAAGAATGTTATAAATTTGGATTATGTAATAAAGAGACTTCCATTCTTGGCCCCTGGGTTTTTTTTTTACATTTCAAGTTGCCACCTTCTGAGTTTACATGACAATTAAACTTTTGCAAGCAGACTGTATATGCTTCTTGCCTGGTTACTTGGAGTTAACCGCTACTATGCTAGGAACCTCTGGGACATGCTACTAACAGGACATTCACAGTCACAATGAGAGGAAGTACATAACGCAGATACTTACAGGTAGTTGGTTTCCTTTCCAAGCCCAAAAGCTAGAAATCCTTGGCCCAGGCGGGCAGGATTAGAGTCACTGACCCGGGGAATCTCTGGTTTAAAGGGCTTTGAGAGGAAGGGGGAGGAAAACAACCCAGGGAAGGAAGGAGCCGAAATTCCAGTCTTCCAGGTCAGCTGAGTCTTAGCTGTCTTTGTACTACGAATCCATTAACCCAGCCATGTGAATGGAGGTTCACCCACACACTCCACTCTCTCTGCTGGTCTTCCCAAGGCTTCTGCGGCAGAGGCGGCGGCTTGAAAACTTCCCGATTACCCAGCCTCAGGACTCCCTCCCAGAAGGGCATGATAAAGGATGCCTGCAAGTGTTTGCAGGGAGCCCGACCCCCCTGGCAGAGAGCTCCAGCTCATCCAGGCCTCCTGCTGGCTGAGTTCGCAGGGACAAAACTGAGCTTTTGTTAATAAGGCCAGTTGCTTCTCTGCCTAGTCTCTCCCTCGCTTCCCCCCTCACTATTAGCTCTGTGCTGACTGCTCTGCGGCTGGCTGCGCTGAAGCTGCCTCTCCCGTGCACAGCACACAACACGCACATGGGCACACGTACACACGTACCCGCACAGTCATCCAAGCCCACCACATACAGATGCGCACATGCCACACACACACAGCACCTGCAGGCATGCACACACGTACCCACAACAGACAGGTGTGTGCACAGGCACACACATGCTCACACATACCACACACATAGGGACACACACACATACACACATGGTTTTTTCCTGAATCTTCAAACTCTTCAAACTCACTTTTTCCCTGAACCTCTGTTCTTTCAACAAATTCCCATCCTGAAAAGTTTTTATTCAAAATGAGACAAGATGCATTATTAAAATGCTCTTCAGCATTCAGAGGGGAGGGGGAAGGGGAACTGGCCCCTTTTAATTTTTGCTGCGGGCTTTAAAAGAAAAATGGAGATTCTAGGGTGCTGTTTTTAAGTACCACCTTAGTCCTTCAGCTTATATGTCTTTTATAAAATCCACAAAAATTCCATTAATCTTATCTCATTTGCATATACTTCAAGACCGCACCGATTCAGATACACCTCAGGTCAGGGCGTGTCCTCCCAGCAGAGATTCCTTCATTCAGTTAAACTTGTCAGGATTCAGTGGGTGGGGTGAAAGTCTTGCTGCTTAAAAACTGCATAATATAATACTTTCCTGTATTTCCTCTCTACCAGAAAAAAAAAAGGCATACCATCTGGCCTAACTTTTAAGTTGACCATAAATAGAGAACTTAGAGTATTATCTCATTTGGGGGAAATGTTTACATGGAGGCACATCTGGCTATTCTAAACCTTAGCCAAAAGTATAGGCACTATGAATCCAAGTCAACCTGGATTGCAGTTTTCCTTAACTAGGCCACCGTGCCATATCCCTTTCCTAAAGCAATGACAGGAAGAGAGAGGAAAATGGAAAAGAAGGGAAGAAAATTATGTGAATAAGGAAGGAAAATGAAAAAGAATGCAAAAGAACAGAGAAATGCAATTATTTTATTTTAAACATGCTTTATGGATACTTTAGCAATGAATGGTACATATACACTTACTTAAAGTCACCAGAAATTCAAAATCTTCAAGAATCTCTTGATTCACTCCATTTGCTCTGAGAAAAAATGGATGAAATGTCTTGAAGAACCACCAAGCTCCTTATAAAGAAGTAATGTTTCATATAACTTTTATGAGGAAAAATACCTTTAGCATTATAAGCAAAAAATAATAAACAAACTTAGATTGCAATGTATTTCAAAATGTCTGCAAGAAATGTAATTTTCACTAAGTTAATTACATACATGATGCTTCACCTCAGTTTACACTGAAACATACTATAGAATAGACAGAGTTAGATTAGCCAAAATATCTTGAAATCATAAGTATCTGCTTATACAAGTAAGTCACTCTTTCTCTTGTTGTCTTCCATAAAATGATAGGGGCTGTGGCAATAATATAATTATCAAAGAGTCTAAAGCATACTTTAATAAAGTACTCTTTGAACAAGTTGAAATGCAAGCCAGAATGTTTAAGAATAACTATCCAAAGAAATAAAGAATTCTCCCCCTAAAAGCATGTGCTACTGAACTTCATGCTAGAACAAAATGCATTTTAAACAAATTCTGTTTCCAACCTTAGGGATGGAATGATATAGAAAATATAAAATGTCATGTGATGAGTATTGACATACCTTTTTGCATTGTAATATATATACTTTTTGTTGAATTGTGTAGAATATAGCATGCTCTGAGAAGCACAGCCAATGCCTTCCCCAACAGCTCATAAAAAAGAATTAGGAGTGTGCCTATGAAATGTCACTGACGGCACCAAGCACAGAGGTGTTACCCACTACACTATGAAAAACCTGATGACTATAGGAAACAATGCTGTGACAAAAGACTATCAATCCCAGGAGTGGAAGGGTCACACTTTAAATAAATCAAATTAAGACAAATACATCAATTAAATACAAGCAAAATAAACACCCTGTGTACCAGAAAAGAACAGAAGCACAACCTAGCAAGAGAGTTCTGGACAGAAACTGCTGACCTCAGAGTTCAGGGCTGATAGGGTGGCTAGATAATAAGAGAGAATGAAACAGCCCCCGAGAAAGGTGGGAAGAAGAGCCATATGTACTGCTTGAAACCAGAAAAGTGTAGACCAGGATCACTTCTCAACATGTACGCAAAATCCTAAGTAATATCTGCAAATCAAATCTCACTATGTATTTTAAAAGCTATTATGACCAATAGGGCTTATTTCAGGATTACAGGGATAGTTCAAAATGAAAACATAGAGCAGTTTTAATATATTAAAGGAGTAAAAAGAGAAATATTAAGTGAACATCTTAGTAAATGCAGAAGAGTAGTATTCAGCAAAATTCAATACATATTTGCTAAAAACAAACACTATTACCCAACTTGGAATAGACATCTTTTTACTCGATTGAAGACATGTATCAGAAATCTCATACTTAATAATAAAATTTTAGTAACCACTGAAGGAGGAACAGGACAAAAAGGCCTGGTGGCATGGCCACAGTTCAGCACTGAGTAGGAGATCCTTGCCAATACAATACGTTAAGAAAAAAATGAGGTATGAGGATTGGAAAGGAAGACAATAAACCTTTTATGTGTAAGAGATATGAGTTTCTCTATAAAATATCTTTAAAAAATCTTCTGAATGAGGGCACTCCTGACAAGAGACACAGAAGAGACAGTGTTTTCCAATACCCACATGCATGCAACCAAAGAACACAGCTGTTAATAACAAAGGGTCCTTCTCCCAGCATTTTGTTTTATGGCTGGAACCAGTGGTCCAGGGGGAGACCTGAAAGAATGAAAGATTCAGGTCCTTTCATGAGGACTAATGCTCAAATTCTGGGCTTCACTGAATCTGTTCGAACAAATGTTTCCCATCCTCCATATTCAAAGCTTAATGCTTGTGGAAATGGAAACTTCAGACTAAAAATTCTACTCATCATATTATCATTTCCACATTTGTTCACTAAATTTCAGTGGGAAATCAGAATAAACTGACTCATTCCATTCCACTGAGGCCTCACATTTGAAAACCAAACATGCAATGCATTTTTCTCATTAATAATCAACTCGAACAAAGCTTCAGATGCTAGCATTAAAGTAAACAGATATTAGGATTTCCACGCATATTAGGATTTACTAAGAATATTAAAAACATGAAAATTTCATCAAGAATCCTGTTTATGTCCATCTTTTATAGGAAAGAGGAAAATGCATGAAAGGTAACATAATTCTATGATGTTTTACATTTCTACTATCTTTGGGAGATTTGGGAGTGATTTGGTCTTTCATATCTTAGCAGCAGGAACAATTTTATCTTTTCAAGCATAACACAAGGAGTTCGGAGTCTTCACTTACTGATGCTGGAAAATCTCCTAACTCCAGCTCTCTCAAAAGATGATGCATTTGCATCATTAAAAAAAATATATATATATATATATATATATACTTTTTATATACACACACACATATATATACACAAATAAATATATATACACACACACATACATATACACACAAATAAATATATATATGCACACACACATACATACACACACACACACACACACAAACGCAGTTATTAATTTTTTTAAAATCACAGCTTAGCCCAAGTCAGAATACTGTACCCTGAAAGTCATAAAACAAACCCAAGCTAAAATGCTTTTCATATCCTAGGAGTAAATGGCACAAATCTACTAACAAAACCCCAGACTTGCTTAGAAAGATGAGGCTGAAGTCACATACTGAATGTGTCTTGCAGGAACCAGAATATGCTGATCTACTGAATTCTCTTCAACAAGGGTTACTGAGCCCTAGTATAAGCTAGGCTGGGATGAGTAAGACCTAGTGTCTGCACTCAAAAACCTTACAATGCAGTTGGAAAGGTAAGATAAGAATACAGCTGACCCTTAACAACTTGGGGATTAAGGACACTGACCCCCATGGAGTTGAAAATCTGCATATAACTTTTGACTCCCCAAAAACTTAACTAATAGTCCACTGTTGACTAGAAGCTTTACCAAGAACATAAACAGTCAATTAATACATATTTTGTATGTTACATGTATTATATACTATACTCCTACAATAAAATAGGCTAGAAAAAATATTTTTCAAATTGTTGCCAGTCTCCAAAAGTTTCCAATACATTTATTGAAAAAATCTGCCATGTAAGTGGACCTGCTCAGTTCACACCTGTGTTGTTCAAGAGCCAACTGTATGGAGAAATATTGAATATTGATAACACATATTAAATTTGTTCTGTTTTAATAATTAAGGATAGCTAATAATTATTGAACATGTACCCACTTCTGTACATTCTTATTTACATGGCTTTATTAGCTCATTTAATCCTGACAACAATTCTAATACCTTGAGTGGATCTAGGGGCTTGAAATATAGCATCCATTCCCTCTTGCTCTATTGCCAAGCTCTCTCTGCTTTACTTTGCATATTGACCTTATTTTCTCCTGATACAAACAGGCTTTGTCTTTTTCAACTCATTAACTAATGAATTAATTGTATCTTTTGTTGAAATAGAGTTGACATGCAATATTAGTTTCATATGTTCAACACAGTGATTCAACATTTATATACATTATGAAATGCTCACCATGGCAGGTGTAGCTATACAGGTTTTTCTCCCGATAAAGAAGACCACCAGCAGCCCAGACCTACATTCCTATGGCTTGCAATTCAGGGGAAGAGAGTCACCTTACAAATTAGTTTTGGCAGAAAAACCCTACAACGACTAGGGAAGGAACAGGGATTGTAGATGTTGACACATCATGACAACATGGAGTGGTGAAAGATTTTCCAAGTGGCAGCAGAGGAGGAGGGATGGGAAAGCAAGGTA